CACACACACACACACACACACACACACACACACACTTACTATTCTTGTGAGGGCCTCCATTCATTCTGATATAAACACAAATCTTATCAAAAACTGAGCCCTAATTTAAAGCTCTATTTTAACATTAAAACTAAGTAAAGTCTGTTCATCTCTTTGGTGCCTTTAAGCCTCCTTTAGCTAATGTTTTTGGTTTTAAGGCACGTTTACTGTACAGTTCAGTGTCAGGGCTCTTAACAACCTCGTACCCAGAAGCATAACCCCAACCTGCCCTCATCACATGTTGTACAAAGATATTGGCTCGCTGGTCAACATAGAGGACATTTAGCAGTCAAATATATTTTCTTAGCAGTTGGTAAAGACCTTAACAGAGTTTCTGCTGGAGGTGTAAATAGTTTTCTAAAGTCCTTTATTGCATTATTCTGCATAAAGCCAATGCTCAGTGTGGGAAGTAATCATTTATGGACCATAATGCTGTGCAGAAGGGCGTGCTTTCCTTCCACAGCCCATATTATTAACCACCTTAAACAGGTGTTGTTGTTGCTAAATCCTAACCATATCTAGCTTACTTTCCTTTATTTATCAAAATCCTTCCATAACCCGAACAATGCCAGAGTAACCATGTATAGATGTTGATGTCTAAAACATGAAAACAAGAATAAGTTAACATCGACATGAATGAACTGGGATTATTGCAGAATTGTCCAATGTCACAGTTTTTACCTTGAAATAGCATTGGTTCGCCTTAAAAGCTACTCATTAAGGCCAAAATATCCTCTTGGCACAAGTGTCCAAAATTGAAATATCAAAACTTTATTCCTAAACTAAAGTATTTTTCTATTATATTCTATAGATTTTCATTGTCATAACTACACTGTAGCTATGCACACATGACCATAAAAGCCTTGAAACATGAAACTAAATGTAAGCCATAACACATTTTTGAAATGTCCTTTTGTTGATCCTTTCCATTCTTTTGTTTTATGAAGGCACTTGGCCTTATAAGACACAAGGAATATATTTATTTTATCATAAAGACCCTTAACCTGCAGGTAAATGATATATGCATGTGCCCAATGTTCATTCCAGTAAAATATTGCGTAAGAAAGCCTTGCATGCATGAGTGAACACACACACACACACACACACACACACACACACACACACACACACACACACACACACACACACACACACACACACACACACACACACACACACACACACACACACACCATGTATACATCACTTCAGGGGGCATTACATTGACTTACATGCATTTCCCGGAGACTTGTCCTAACCTTAACCAAGTCTTCACCCTAAAATTAATGATTCCCCTCATTGGGACCTCCCTTATGTCCCCATAAGGGAGGTGAGTCCCCACACGTGACTGTGTAAACAGATGTAGGTCCCCACAAGGATGGTAATGCTAGGACACACATGCACACACAGAGCGGATGTTGTGATAACATTTGCAGGCTTTATGGATCTCCCCTGCAGTGGTATTGACAGGCGAGTCAATAAGGCAGCAGGGTAAAGACAAAGCTAACCGTGCTATTCACTTAGCATTGACGTTAGAGGAATATCCTGCACAGGGAAAAGAGCACACGTCACAATACCAAAATGCTTTATGCGCATGTTAAAATGTCAGTGATGTTCATGTGATGAGTGTCCGAACATTCAGCATCTCAACAAGGCGAATTCTGACCGTACACCAAACTAAAATGATTTGCTCTATGTTTGTATTAAATATAATTGAATCCTTATGCCAATTTAAAAACAATGTAATGATATCCTTAGAGGAAAACACTGTCTGCATAAAAACCAAACATGAAAAACATATATTAATGTTACACTTTCACTAAAATACACATCTTCAGCACTCAAAATTCCTATATTTTCCAAATGTTAACCCCCTTTAAATAACAGTTTGTTTACATTATGTTGTCAATAACAAAAAAATTATGATTTCTGTACACTAAATGCTAGAAGTATAGTCTTGTAAGAAGTCCCTACTTGTTAGCACCAAATACGCGCTTGTGACTTTGATATTTTTTCCTACGTTTCTATCAAATAAAAAAATATACAACTATATTTAAAATGAACCTTGTACAGTCTAAAACTAAAATGTCAACATTAATACATTGCACTGATACAAGTCTAGTCATGAAGACCATAAGGCAGATTGCTAATGGGCCAGTGGTGTGAAATGTTATTGTACAATATCTTGTACTCTTGAAGCTCTTACAGAACGTACTGAGAATGTGGTAACACTGCAATTATGAAGAAAGAATGTCCTTTTATTCACTATACACATATGAAAATATCCATAGATACTTCTCAAACCACTAACTAAACCTCTGTGTCATCTCCTGTCAACCCCCACCACTGAACGCAGCAAGCTAATTTGCTGCTTTGGAGGATGTCCAAGGGCATTCTGGGAAATGTAGGACATTACTAATTGAGCTATTGAAGCAAGCTCAGGAAAAACGGCTACAACAGTGAATCCATTACTAAAATGAAACATATTGAAAACGACAGATTTATAATATCTGACAGTCTCACCTGAACAGGTCACACACACACACACACACACACACACACACACACACACACACACACACACACACTACACACACACGCGATACACACACA